GTACAGTTCCTGTCTCATGAGGTTCTGCAAATACTTGTTTTAATAGTATTTTGGAAACTATTGCCATGTATTTCACTCCTATGTTTTATTGATTTTATCGGATTACCCTTTGTTTTCTCTAGTTCACTGATCCAGGAGGTCTTCACCATCTCTCGCCCCACCCATTCCTGTCCTCACTATTCTCAGATCCCATATCCCATCAACATACTCATATCCTTGACAATTTCCTCCTTTCCACTGCTCACCCACCTGGTGAAACCTTGCCCCTGCTGAACCCAGCTCTCTGCTTTCTCTACAGGAGGCAACACAGTGTAATGCACAAGGGTGCCAGCCCTGCAATTAGACTGCCCAGGGTGCAAACTGCTGCTCTGCCACCTAACAGCTGTGCATTTTCAAGTAAGTTAGTTATGCCTTTTATAAAATAAGACTGATAACAATAATACTGGCTGGCTATGTCACAGATATCCACAGAGATGTAATGAAGTTTAAACAAGTTTACACACATCAACTTATACCGGCCATGGTAAGCACTTAATAAAAATTAGCTGGGATTATTTTTATGATTATTTATGCTTGAGGCAACAGAATGTTGGAGAAAATCACATACCCAGACAGACTGCTTACACTACAAATGCAGAACCACAAACCTTGGATAGGTCCTTGATACTGTCTGGCAACTCTATGTGTGTCTCCCTAGTATATTTACTCTCCTGCTCTGCCATGTACTATTTCAAGCTTTCAACTCTTACTTCAAATCTCCCCCACCCTTAGTTCCTTTCTCTTCTCCTGCATGGGGAAAACAGAGGCTACTCACCAAGTACTACTTCATCTCAATATCATCTAATATAGAAAATATACTCATATCTGGATTCGTCTTCTATACCATCTCTCCATCTCAATGGAAGAAGAATCCAAAGGCCAATCCTCTACTTGGGTTCTAGATTCTTCTCCTATTTTCCCCCAAGAACTTTCCTTCTGCAATTACTCCTCTCCTCTTTGCATATCTGGTTTCTCCCTAAGGTAATCATCCATGACCCTCATCTTTGGATATCCAGGACCTTGTATGATCCCTCCCCTAAGTGTGAGTGGAATCTGCAACTCACTTATAACCAAAAGAATATGCCAAAGATGATGGAATCTGCAATTACACTGTATTATGGAAGACTGCATCTTGCCAGCTTCTCCTTACTGAAGTCCACAGGACAAATAGCTGCAGGACAGACAGGGTGAGTTTGAGAGGCTCCAGGATCTAAGGACATCTTCCAGGTAATAGCCAGCAAGAAGCTGGGACCCTCAGTCCTACAGATGCAGGGGAATGAACTCTGCCTACAGCCCAAGTAAGTTTGAAAGTGAAATCTTCCCTGGTCAAACCTCCAGATGAGAACTCAATCCACTTAACCCCTTAAATTCAGCCTTGTAAGACTGATGGCGGCAGGCTCAGTTAAGCTGACACCAGGCTCCTACTTCATTGAAACTGTGAGAACTACTTTAAGGCAAAAACTTTATGGTAATTTGTTACACAGTAACAGAAAACTAATACACTCACACCCTTCTAGATAATTTCCATCATGCTCTAGTCACTACAGTCTATTGCATCTCATTTTAACAATAAAAACAAACCTAGACATAGGCCCTCTACCTATTCCCTCCTTCTCTGTTCTCCAAGAAAACCTGTCAAAATCTTTTTTTCATAAATCCCCTTACATCCTCACCTCCCATTTGCTGCTAGCTCTTTTAGTCACATCATAAACTTCCTCTATCAAGGATAACCCTAAGTGCCATATTGAATAAGAAAAAGTCTCTTTTTCTTATTCAATATCCCTGCAATATTCAACAGGTTCATTACACACCACTTTTTGGAATTATTTCTTCTCTTGGTATAGTGGACTTTATATTTTTTTATTTGGATGCTGCCTGTCAACCATCTTCACTGGCTTCTCCTAGACCCAAACTTACAGCATCCTGTGCCCCAGCACCTGCTCAAGGTTCTCTTCTCTTGCCCAGTGGAACTACCTATGCATTGGGCATCAACATGTTGATGACATCAACATGTTGATGGCTCCCAAACCTCTCTTTCTAGCCCTGACTTCTTCCTGGCTCCACATCCTACAGCCACTGGCCTAACTGCAATCTTCATTCAGAGGGAGGAATCATCATCTCACACTTAAGATGTCAAAAACAAAACATTTGATTTTTGCTCTCCCAGTTTTCCCAATCTCAGTGAATGGCACAACTAACCACTCTTTATATCAGGGCCTCATCCTGGATTACCTTCCTTTCCTTTACCTCATCACCCAATCCATCAATAAGTTCTGGCAGGCTGCTCTTCACAATGGATGCAGAATTCATCTCAACTCCACTCTTGCCGTCCTCTAACTCCAAGCAGTCCTCACCACTCAGTGGACCGCAGCAGCCATTGCCACCTAACTGATCTCTCTGCTTCCACTGCTGCTCTCTATTCACACAGCATGAACTGAGACATGCAAATCACCTGGTAAGCTTTGACTGCCAAAGACTTTCCAGAGACTCCACACTCGACCTCAAAAAGGCCCACCTTTTCTATATTGCTGACCCAGACCTGCTTCTGTGAAATATTGCCTTCCTACCAAGTTCCTGCCACAGTCATGTCTTCCTCCTTTCTACTTCAAGACTTGCAATTGCAATTCTTTGTGCCTGGAAAGACCTTTTCCCCCCAAGCAAATCCTAGATCTCAGATCAAATGTCCCTTCCTAAGAGAGATGTTCCCATGTTCTCTTTTCAGCCCAGTCCAAACTCTAAGATATTATTTCCCTCAGAGCATTCATCAAAATCCTCACATGTCCTGCTTATACATATGCTCACTTATTTAATTATATCTTTGATTGTTGTCATGACACCTCTCATGAGATGTGAGCATCAGGAAGATTCTCCACTGTGTTTGACAATGGCACCTGGCACACAGTAGGTGCTTGATAAATATGTGTTGAACAAATGAATGCATGAATACAACATGTTTTCATTCTGGTTTAAAATTTTTTTTATAGTTGTAGATGAACAACATACTTTTATTTTGTTCATTTTTTTTTTTTTTTAATGTGGTGCTGAGGATTGAACCCAGTGCCTCCTCACACATGCTAGGCAAGGACTCTGCCACTGAGCTTCTGCCCCAGAACCTGTTTGCATTCTTATATGCATTATAACAAAATTCTTTGTGATATTCCAATACAAAATTTCTTCAGATGGAGTGTCACAATGTCTTTAAAGCAATTGTTTTTAAAAGGAAAAAAAGATAGTTATATCTCAACACATTTATTATATAAGTTTTTGAAAAGCTGTGAGCCAAGCAATGTTATAAATTTGAATGGATTTTTAAAAATTGGAGGTGTGAAAAAATCTTTTTTGATAATGTCAAGTATCACACCCTAGATATTCTGTTTTTATACTGTTGATTCTTTTCCTACATTGAATTTGCTTTGATCATAGAGCATAAGTTATTGTTAATTTTTCTATTATAAATTGTGCAATCACTATTCAAACCACAAGACACATTTTCAGTATGTCTGAACAAAAATATTACGGAGTCACTACTCTTATTTTTCAGTGTCACTGATACCATGTGACTTAATTCAAATCCAGCTATATCCTGTGGCCATACAATACAGGCTTTTCAGCAGACCATGGTAATGAGTGTGGTCACAGTCCAGATTCCAACAAGCAGCTGTCAAAAACTATCATCCCAAATGACTATTTGCTGAACATTTCTCACTCTCAGAGATCAAACTTCCAGGGTGGTCTGGGAAAGAAATTTGTGCCCACATCTATTCTCAGCCTATTCTAATTGCTAATGTTTAACATTTCTTTGGAAATACAATTTCATGCTTCAGCAGCTGATTTTCATTTTGGGGTGGGGGGGGGCAAGAATCAAAAGATTTTTTTTAAAAAAAAATTAGTTTCTATTAAGTTCACTTGTTTGTCTTTTTTCCTCCGAAAATACCTCTTGAAAACTCCCAAGAAATAGTTATTCAGCTGATTTTAAGAACCACTCTTGAGAAAAATCACTCACTTCATCGCTTACCACTTGCTGCCCTCAAAACTTCTTAGCAACATACACGGTGCATGAACCTCAACGTGGTTGGCTTTGTCCAATCGCATGCCTCAAAGCCCAGCCAGTCAGTTGTGTAATAATAAACCCCTTATCTCCTGAAGATACACAAACGGAAAGATCTCCTGGGGCTTCAGTGCACAGGGGGACTTCGCTAGAATTCTCAGCTGAAACTCACATCCATTTAAAATGCCAAATCCCTCTCCTCCAACTGCCCCCTCCCCACTTTTCCATTTCCTTTTTCCTCCTTTGCAATTTTGAGGGGGGAAAATGCTAACCCAGGTCGAGCTTAAACACGGGAGACGAGGGGCAATGCCAAAAGCTGCTAGCAAAATGCATGCGGAAACCAATGGCTTGTTTTTTGCGGCACTGGGCTTACCGGTTCCCTCACAAGTGCCTGCGATGGAAACTCATCAACAATTGTTCTCGGGTGAAGGAAGGGGTTGCGAGATTGACAAGAAAAGCTGCTCGATAGTTGCAATAAGCTTGAATAGTCCTCAAAATAAGAAGGGTTCAGTCTAGCATCCTTCGGAAGAATAAAACATCTCACCACCACCAACCCACCTCGCCCGTCCTCACCAGGCGCAAATCGTCACCCACCTCGTCCGACCTCCAAGTTCCCCTGCCTACCCTGGAGAAGTGTCCTTTCCTCACACCCACACAAGACAAGAAACCCGACCCGGCCTGTAAGCAAAGCGGGAGAGGCGGCCTCGGAGAGGTGCAGGGGGCCCCAGGCGCAAGCAAATCAACAGTTCCCTCGCTCTGCCCCGCGCTGCCGCCGGCGCCGCCTGACACACCCCTCCCGGCCGGGTCTCTAGTCCTTGGCCAGGCGCCTCGCTCGCCCTGGGGTTCGGAGCCCAGGCCAGTCCCCCTCCCCGGTCCGGCGAGTCCCACGAGCGCCACCGCACCCAGCACGCACCTTCAACGCGCCCCGGGTCGGGCCCTTGGGGAACGCACGACCCGGTCCGAGGGGCACGAAACGCTCCTCGCCATCCTCCTCGTCGTCGTCGCCGTCCACCACCTCGACGACCACCTCCTCGTCCTCGTCTTCCTCTTCGTCATCCTCCTCCTCCGCGCCCCCTCGGGGCTTCTCCTCCACCCTACCGAGTCCCCTCCGCCGCCTGCTCCCGCCTTCTTCGTCCTCGTCTTCCTCCCCCAGAAGCAGCAGCACGGGCGACGAGGCTGCAGCTCCGGCGGCCCGAGGGGGGCCGGTCCCGGCGCTGCGCGGCGGCGGCAGCGGCGGCCTCCAGCTCTCCGGGACTGGGCCCGGGCCCGGGGCAGGGGGCGGGAGTCCGTGCAGGGCTGCTTCCTGGGCGGGCGCGGACGCCGGCCCAGCCGGCTGCAGCGCGGCGCCCCCGCGGCGGCTGCCCAGGCTGGAGCGCTTGGCTAGACGCCGCGCCTGCATGCCTGAGCGCGGAGCTGCGGGCCGCGGCGTGGAGCCGGAGAGTTTGTCACCTCCTCTTCCTCCTCTTCCTCCCCAGGCGGCAGCTTTGGCTGCAGGCGCCCGGGTCGCGGGGCGGTGAGGGGCTGCAGGAGCCGCCTCCCTGGGCTTTGCGGCTGCCACTGGCCGCAGAGTCGCGGGCGCCGCCTTCGCTGGACCGGCCCGCGGGGACGCCGGCGGCCGGCGGCTACGGTGGGGCGGCGCGGCGGCCGCGGGCGGGGGTGGGTGTGAGCGAGCGGCGCGCTGCCGCCTCCGCCGCCGCCGCCGCCCGGGAGCCGCGGGCCGCGCTGCGCTCCATGCGGCCGGCGGCCGGGCCGGCGCGCGCCTCTCCCGGCCCGCTGCGCCCGCGCGCTCCGGGCCTACCGCTGCCGTCCCTGGGCGCGAGCTGTTTGTGTGGTGTGTTTTCCACCACCGCCCCCCTCTTCTGGAGCCATTCCTCGCAACCCTCCGGTCCCCCCGTTCAGACAAAACCCGGACTGGATTTAGCTTTCCTACCCACGGTCTCCGAAAATCTGGCCCTTCGAAGCAGCTTGCACTTACGCCCGGGCTAACCCTTAACCCCTTACTCGGCACGAAGGAGGACAGACTTGTTGGAAGTAAGGTGGTCGGTCAAGTTAGACTTTGAATGTAGAGATTTGCTGAAAGTCGTTTTAGTGGTCACTAATGTGCATTGGCAACTACACTGAGCTTACATAAAGTTGAGGGAAAGTGTGCCAATCTGAGGTTTGGGGTCAATTGCCAGCATGAATCTTCAGTCATTTTGAATTTTTGAAACACTCTTCTGTCAATGTCTACCCATCTCCCAATGGTGAGCACACCATTCTAGGCCTTGCCTTTGAGCACTTGTGGACCTGCTAAGTCTAAGCCATTCAGCTTTGACTTTTTACATTTCTACCCTGAGTAGCTAGCTGATTGTAACAACTAACTCCCAGAAAACTTGCTCTCACCATTCAATCTGTAGGTTCTGCTGGCACCATCCAGGCCTTTGAAAAAACACACCAGGGGAGAGTTCAAGATGTTTGAGTTTGTTATTTCACAAAATTTAACATGAAGTAAGACCAAGCCTAGAAATCAAGCACATAATCAGTTTGCCATGAACAACTTGGCCACTTTCTGAGGATTTTTAGGTGTGACAATGAAGAGTTTTACTATCTACTATTGTTTAGAGTTAGGCCATATAGAAAACCTACTCTTGACATTCAAATCATACCCCCCCAAATCACCCCAGTTGAAGAAGCCTGGGGATGATCTAATTCATCAAATACATTGGCAGGCACTTCTGTGAGGCTAGAGTAAAAGGTGTCCTCACGCTATGCTAATTATTGTTAGAGATTTAACATTAACATCAGGTGCCCTGATAGACCCTTAAAGGGGACTCATTACATGCTGTCTTATGGTGTCTTCCAACTGTTGAAGAGGAATGATGACAAAATTCTAAAATGAACTTTTTGTTCTCCATGAATCAGAGTAGCTTCCTGATACACCTATTTCAGGTAATGACACTCATTATAATCATTCAGGCCCAAAATAGCGATATCATTTTAACTCCCTTCTCTCCCTGATCCCTAGAAGCAATTGCCCACAAGTCCAATCTATTGTTCTCTCTGAAATGCCTTTTGAATCCACCCCTTCTTTTCCATACCCAAAAGCTCTTACAGCATTTCATAACACCAAAAGTGAAAGTTTCTAAATTACAAAAATCCTGTTTCTCATCCACGTACCCTCCCTTGCCCCACTTCACATACCACCATGGGATTCATATTCTCCAAATCCCACACAGATCATGGCATTTTCTGGTTGAACTTTCCATTTGTAAATATTCCATTCAGGAGTTTAGAGAGTGAAAAGGGTTGGAGCATTTTAAGAAATATGTGTGCCTCTGATCAAAGCATGGAATAGCAGAGGCCAGCAAAGAAGTGAATAAATCAATATCCGTAAGTGTTTGCAAGGAATTCAAAATGATCCTAAAGTGATCTTATCCTAATTGAAGGAAACTTAGCTTAGTTGATTTGGGAGACAGTAGATCTCATTGAAGAGAGGCATCTGGATCTACTGTGAACACAAAGAATAAAGGTCAGGCAGGCATGGGAAGCAGATAGGCACAGGGAGATGGCGGGAGAGAACAAAGGTGTGAGGCAGATGGGCTGGGTAGTTAGGCTCACAGTGTCAGCCCTTAGTCACCCTCTTTTTATGCCTCAGTTTCCTTATCTGTGAAATGGGGATACAAACAGAATCTGTATAATAGTAAAATTGTTTTGGAAGATAATGAATGAATACATGCAGTTTAGAAAAGCACTGGGCACAAGTGGAAGTAAGGACTTACACTAAGTATATTGACAGTATGTGTAAATAAGGTAGTACCAGATACTCTTGGAAAATAGCAGGGATCTCTCTTTTAAATAAGCTTGGAAATGTCAAGAACTACCAAAACGTATTTTCGAGCCCAGCTATATCTTGTCAAGAGGCCCTGGTCAGGTCAAGGATAATGATTTTTGTGTCTGAAAGTGCTATAGATGATAGAAAGCAAATGTTTTCCTGAGAACTAAAAGAAAAGGCAGAGTTAAGTGTCAGTGATTGGTATTTGTGGTTTAGTGGGAGATGGTACACTGTTGTGCTCTCTTTCAAAATTGCCATCTATGCTTTGAAATCAGCTTGTTCTTTCTCTCAGGCCTCTTCACCAGAGCCCCTACACACCTTTCCCGACTCTACAGAGACACAGAGGCTGCCCCCTGAGTGAGAAAAAAGAATTGACCTTGGGAGTCAGACCATTAAATGAAGGCTAATGTCACAAAAGAGATGGGGCCCAAGCTGAGCTTTGAGGGACACAAGGATTTAGATGGGCAGCGAGAACAGCATTATCCAGGCAAGTGCAGGCCACTAAATCCTACCATAAAGAAATCCGAGGACATTAAGTGGGAAATAAAAATTCAATGACCAATTCATCAGGAATCAAGAAAAAAATATCTCAGTCTATGACACACTACACTCATGATATGGACTCAGAAGTCAAGAATATGATGCCAAAAAACTGAGAGGAGTCATTGTCACTTCTTTCCCCCACATTCCCTAACTGTAGCACAGTCTATCTTCCCAAACTAGGAGCACCTGCCACCAAGGATGAGCAGGTGTGCCTCTGCACCATGGGGCAAAGAATTGCACCTTCCAGGGAAGTCAGTTTAACACATCATCATCTAAAACAGTCCATCTTTCATTCCACATATATTCATTGAGTACATACCAGATCTTCCTCTTGGTGCACAGCAGTGAGCAAGATAGCCCTCATGGGGACAGCAGGGGGAAACAATCAATCAAAGACAATAAATGAACATATAATTTCATAGAGGTAATAAGCTTTGGAGAAAAAAAATAGAGCAGAAGTGGGGAAGTAGAAGGAGCTTGTTTTCTTATACCAAAACAAGCATAAGAATGGTATGGAGGTGGGCGTGGTGGTGTACACCTGTAATCGCAGCAGCCCAGGGGGCTGAGGCAGGAGGATCATGAGTTCAAAGCCAGCCTCACCAAAAATGAGGCACTAAGCAATTCAGTGAGACCCTGTCTCTAAATAAAATACAAAATAGGGCTGGGGATGTGGCTCAGTGGTTGAGTGCCCTGAGGTCAATCCCCAATAACCTACCCCCTCCAAAAAAGAATGGTATGGAGCATAATGTGAAATTTGGATGAAGACTTGCAGCAATGAACTCGGTCTTCTTCCCTTGGGTAGAATCCACCCTCCTCTGCTGTCTGGCCTGCTTTGGCTGCTCAATTTGAAAGGCACTGATGAGGAAGAAGAGCGGGCTTCAGAATAAATGTCACCCATAACCACAGAGAACTGGTTGCCTGATGTCTGTTGTCTCCTGATCCTCAGTGTTTCACCTTTGAGTTTTAAGCCTCAAAAATACTGGAAAATCAGGCTTGATTTGACATGTTCAGTTTTTTTTTTCAAATTTAAGTTTCAGAAAAATAATAATCTTGAAAAAAAACTCATGAGATGTTACCATAATCAAGGGCAGAAATAGAGCACATTTTCACTCACCCATGGATAGTCTTTTATGTCCTCATGGAACTTAAATTGTTGGGTTTGTTGATAGTGGTGGCTCCTTTTAAAAACTATTTTAAAACTAAAAGTGAAATTTTGCCCTTTAAGAAGGTTATGAAAGTAAGATTAGGTTCATTTTTCCATACTTCTGGGAAACCTAAAAGTGACTTCAGATGATGACTGTCACCCTACCGTATAAAAAATAGATGAAGATTTAGAGAATGGCTCATCTATTACAAGCCTCAAATGAAAGCTTGTCTGAGTCAAGTAGAAATTTCCGAACAGACAGGCATTTCTTCCATGAGCAAATTAACTTATCAGGTTTTTTTTTTTTGGGGGGGGGGATGGGGGTTGTTTCTTGGTTTCCGTTTTTTTTTTTTTTTTTGGTCCTGGGATTGAAAAACAAGGATGCTATACCATTGAGTTACATCCCCAGCCCTTTTTGGAGGGCAAAGGGGGGTACCGAGGATTGAACCCAGGGACATTCAACCAACTGAGACACATCCCCAGCCCTATTTTGTATTTTATTTAGAGACAGGCTCTCACTGAGTTGCTCAACACTTCGCTAAGTTGCTGAGTCTGGCTTTGAGTCGCTGGAATTTGCAGGGCTGTGATATTTCTCTCTCTCTCTCTCTCTCTCTCTCTCTCTCTCTCTCTCTCTAACATATTTACAGTTCTGGTGTAGTGTGTGTGATTTTGTCTTTGTGGTTTCCTTATCAGTCATTTCATGTTGGCACTTGAGAGGAAAAAAAAAAAAATTCAGACTGAGTTTCCAGAGACTTTGGCCTTGAGTTCCCATAGGACACTAGTTGAATCCCCTGATCACTGCAGAGTTCACAACTCTAAGATGGATGAGATGTACTCTTTAAGGTCTTTTAACTCTTAGGTTCCATATTATATCAACCTGAAGTATGTTTTCAGTGTAAGCCAATTACCCATTATTAAGATCCACAGACTGAACCACATATGCCAGTGCAGGTGTGTATATTGAATGAATTCATGTAATATGTAATGTTTGTGAACATCTCTTCTAGCCAATTCTGCATGTTGTCCATGTCTTAGGATTGTCATCTCTGTTCCCAGGAA